TTACCATATTTACGTATCTTTATGTTTATCTTCCTATCTTCGTCAGCAAAACCATCTTTAAGTTTATTATCTGCTATTATCATGATTTTTATATTTGTTATCACATTGTTTAATCTACTTGTGACATGATTATAATGTTTGCATCAACTTATAGAATATATATAGTGACAAATTATTCCTTTATAATTATTTCACAAAATGATCATCGTTACTGCACTATACATTTAAATTGTAGGTGTATATTAAAGGTTTATTAATCAAAAAGAAACATTTATTTTTTGGGAAAAAGTTGTTCACTATACATTGAGCATCTCTTGACGGATAAAAGAAGTTTTACATAACATTTCCACAAATAAATTCCTTTACTCAACATGCTACTGTATAATTATTATACAGCGAGACATTTGAACAAAAAGGACAAAATAACAAAGTATAAAACACTTTCCTTGTAGCTTTTGCCCGCCAAAAAATAACTTGGAATGGAATGACCGCAAGCACATAGCTTTTCCGCTATGTTTTGGAAGCTCACGCGTAACTAGACTAGCTATAGTTATGTTCCAAACAACTCATGAACGAGTGTCTTTTGTTTTCACATACTTTTTTTATTTCCTTCTTTTGCCTCCGTCGAAACAACGACGGCCATTTCGGACTCGCTGGTCCCTTTGTAAGGCGAACCAAAAGGCAAGAGGAATTATCACTTATGCGTCGATCTTCTAAATCTTTTATCGATGCCGGTGATAGCCCTGATGTTATCCTCGGCCACGGCACGAATGGAAGACGTGATATCCGCCACGGCTGAGCCTGCTGTTTCTAGCGTTCCCTCGACTAAGCCTCTGAATGCTTCTCCTTTGGCGATCAGGGCGTTGATGATTCCGATCTTTATGTCGGAGATAAAGCGCCCAACTGCACCGACTGTGTCCACAACCTTAGAGATGGTCTTGTTAACTGTCTTGTCTGCAAAGTCGCCAAAGTCTTCGACTATACCGTTGATGAATCTGTTAACGGCACTTTGCTTCTGAAGGAATCCGCGGTATGTGTTCATCCCCACGGTGCCGACCGTCCGGCCCGATTGCTGGATATTTCTGAACAAGTTCCCCAAGCTCTGTTCGCCCTGAAACTGAATCTCGTCTCCCAGGAGTCTGAGCCCGGACGTCGTCTCCCTGGTGATGCTGTCCAGGTTGGTGGCAGCCATCTGCACGAGGCCGTCGATGAAATCTCTCCCGAGGCCGAGAACGTCTAAGTTTAGCAGCGATCCCAGGGGGGAATTTGACGCCCCGCCGGCGCCTCCCGAAGCGCTTCGACTGTCCAAAATACCCAGCGTCAGTTTCGAAAGGAGATCTCTGATCGGGTCATTTCCCCCTCCGAAGAAGGACTTCGTGTCTCCAACAGAAGTCTGTGACGACAGAACTGGGTTAAGGATGCTAGCACTGGCTGGAGTATCCGCACCAAAGTTGGGGAGGATCGGGTTCTCGGGAATCCTCTCGTTCAAGGGAGATCCGCCTCCCGTTAAGAGACTGTCTGAAGTAAACTGTGTGTTTGTCTGACTGGAAATAGTGACAGGGGAAGATGGGAATTGAGAGCCGGAGAAGGTATTGTCGAATCCAGGGCTGGATAAATCTGGACTTCCGGGAATAGCTGGGGAAGCAACGCCAAATGACGATGGAATATCTGTGAAGTCAGGTATTCCTCCAAAGTTCCCGGACACACCAGTGGCTGAGCCACCGGCACCTCCAGAGGACGAGATGCCTGGTAAGCTGATGCCTGCGTCGCTTGCTCCGCCAGAGGAAAAGCTGCTCGTCGCTTCTGCCAAAGTCACGCCGCCAGATTCCCCGAGACTCAGGCTGCCTGATGGGGCCGCCCCTCCAAAGTTGGAGGCAACAGCCTCTCCAAGGGATACACCAGCCGACGCCCCTAAATCGGCGCCACTTAGCCCGGGGGGTCCGGAAATGGAGATCTGCGCGCTCCCGGCGCCGACTCCTCCAGGAATGTACGTATCCGGCAACCCGGCGGTCAGGTCTTCGAGCCTGACCTGACCCCCGACGTTGTTCTGGAGCTCGTTGTTCGGCAGGAGATCCGAAATCCTTATCGTCCTCCCTGTCGCCCCCTCCAGCCTCTGCGCCTCGGCGTTGCCGTCAATGGCCTTCCCGATCGCCATCGGCTGGGGGCGCGGCCGCGAGTGGCTGAAAGCTTTGGCCTGGGGGGCGTCGATGCCACCTCGGTACTGGAAGGCAACCTGTGGCCCTCTTACTGCAGTTGCACCCTGTCGCCCCGGGAACGGCCCGCCGCGCGTCCCACTGGGAGGGACTTGCCACGCTTGCCAGGGTCGAGCTGCAGAAGGCTGCCACGCGGGAGCCATCGCCAGCACTAAAGCCACCGCTGTCACCACGAACCTCTGAGGAAGGAAGAAGATAAGGCTTCACACAAGTTGCCATGGCATCCATTAAGAGTATTCACTTGTCGGCATAATATCAATCTATAACGTGTAATGGCACTGCTATCT